TCTCCAGTCATGGCTTACTTTGGAGCTGGAAGATATCGTAGAAAGTTATAGTCCAACTTAGTAGCAGAGAAGAACTATCAGAGAGAGTCCAATAAAAAGGTTTTAAAATGATACACAGCATAGTTAACACTTAGTATGCATTTGTTGAACGAGCAAATTTATTTAACCTGCTCCAATTCTTTTCCTCTAGCAATACTGATCCATACCACCATACAAATGTATCATGATCTTTATCTCTAAAATTGAATGTCTGTATAATTTTTCTTAAAATAAAAATTTTCATTTATGTTCAAGGCCTGTGAACCAAACAGTCTTCTTTACTTCATATCACTTATTACTTCTTTCTTTCTAAACATCCAGGGCTGATAATTTTAGAATTCCTGTAGTTTCCTTTAGCTGTTGCAGCTGATTACCAGAACCTTAATGACAACACAAATTTATTGTCTTACGTAAAACATTAGTGACTTAAAATGCAAATTTATTACCTTATGTCTCTGGAGGTCAGAAGTCCGCAGTGGGACATTAGGACTGTGTTCCTTCTGAAAGTTTTAAGACATAATATTTCCTTACTTTGGGCAGGTTTTTGAGGCTGCTCACATTCCTTGGGTCGTGGCTCCAAATCACTTCGACCTCTGCCGCTCTCTTCACAGCTCTAGCTCACTTTGGGCCCACAGGCCTCGTTTTATAAGGGCCTGGTGATTATATTGGCTTCACCTAAGTAATTCAGGATAATCCCCTCATCTCAAAAATCTTTAATGTAATCATGTTTACTACATCTCTTGCTAAATGAGGAACACATCCTCTGGAATTGAGGGTGCAGATAACTTTAGAGGTTGCTATTTGTGCACCACAATGAGCTAAAGAGCAGGTAGAGATGTGTGAAATGTCTTATAAATATCTACCTAAGTTTTGTTTTTAAGAGACTGAGTCTCAATATGTTGCCTTGGCTGGCCCTGAAGTCCTGAGCTCAAGCGATCCTTCTGCTTCAGCCTCCTCAGTAGCTGGGACTAAAGGCACTCAGCTTAGTAAGGTTTTGACTCTTGATGTTGGATAATAATAATAATAGTAATACTATTTGCCATTTGTTGAGTGATTACTGTGCTCTGGGCATTGTGCTGAAAAAATAGCTATTGTAGCTTTGGAAACTGGTATATCTAGTAGTTTCAAAAATACTCTAAATATATCCCTGTTTAATAAATGTATAAAATAATGTTTACTCATTAGATACCTCTTGACAGTCACACTGTTAAGAAGTGGCAAGTATAAGTTGATTTAGCTTTAATACTCACTGCCTTCATAATCATTGAAATACCTAATCTTCATTCTCTATCTCCATTATGTCTATGTGCTTAAATCTTGTTTCATGCACTGTTTAAATCATTGATTAACATTCAGTAAGGGCTATAGTGAATCAGGAATTAAGCTTTATAAAATATCTATTTTCTTCCACATCTACTCTCCAAAGCCAAAGGTGGCTAACAAGGTTTTTTAAAGTGTTTCCCAAAACATACCCATTGTTTAATCTTGTTTTATACCTGTTTACTGTCACTCATCTCATGCCTCCTCTCCTGCTTGTGGCCCTCTGGCTAAGCCATTGCTTCTGTCCACTATTATTTAGGATATCTGGGCCAAGACACAAGGTCTCCCTGTTGTGTGCCAATCTTTGCCGAACAGGTGGAAGATGAAAGGCATGGAGAGGAGAGCATGACTTAACATTTAGGTATGTGTGCATATACAGCAGTGGTGTTTGGGGCACAGATGGCTGTGGTAATGAATGGCTAAGTAAAGGACAGCCAAGTTTTAGAAGGCGATTATGCAATCACTGGTATGTTGGAACACATATATTAAGGTAGAAATTGGTGTTGGCCCTACAGGGTCATGGATCTGACTGAATAGCTCCTGACCCATATCAGCCCTCCAGAAAATGTTTGATGGATTAATGCTAAATGACATCCTGTGGCAGCATATTATAGGGGGAGCAAAAATGGACAACTACCTCACTATACATTCAAAGGAACCACGTGAAAAGAAAGGTATCAGTAAGTGGGGTCTGTCACCTGGTAAGGGAACATAGTTCAGTGCTGATCCTCAGTATCTTCATTTTTCATTCATGTCCAAGGAAAAGAATTAATGTGAAATATTTGATATTGCAAGCAACCATATAATCTTTCATTGATATGTGAAGCCTACCTAAACTAAGCTATAAACTCAAAGGGAGGGAGGAAGAAAGGAGGGAGGGAAAGAGAGGGAGCCTACCTTAGAGAATAATTATGTACAACATAGTAAAATTCTATACACTCTAGATAGATTTCAAAAAGTTAGGTTTTTCTTTCACTGTAGATTGCTGCCTTAGTCATTATTTCAACTTTGACTTAGTTTCTTTTTAGGCTGAGAGCCTGACGCAGTTCCAGAATTCTTAATGTAAAGCTAGGTGATTAAAAAAAGACACATGGAATACAATTTAAGAGTCTTGTGGCTCGGTAATATTTAGTCAAACTTAAGTTTAATAGCAAAGAGAAAAATATATCACAAAGCAATGGTATTCATGGAAATGAATAACTGGGAAAGCATTCATTTGGGAAGTCTGTGAAATGAAGATGTCTTTGAACAAACAAAACAAAGAAAGGAATTGGAGAGTGAATTGGAAACTCTCTTTTTTACAATTTTTATTAGTACATGTTTGCAGTACATAATTATTACATTCATCATGGGGAGCTGTTACATGCACATAGCATATTAATGATTATTTTTCATTCCCTTCCTAGTCCCTTCCTCTCCTCTTGCCTCCCTCCATCTCTTGGTCCCCTTGAAACTATCTTGAAATAAAAATATTTGACTGTAAATTTGGTTATTTAGAAACTACATGTTCTCTAACTTTGGCTCGTAAACCAGTTTAAAGCGATATGAATTCCCCCATTAAAGTAGAATAATAATGAGAAAATACGTATTGACTTCTTACTGTGCTCTGGGCTCAGTGGTTCTTTGCATCTATTATCTAATTTGATTTTATAATAACATTTTGAGGTAGACTTTCTTTGTAAATCCCCATTTTGCTGATGAGGAAAGTGGAACCTGGATAATTAGTGAACTGCCTGAATTCATGTACCTGATAAGTGGAAAATGGGACCTGAGCCCAAGTCTTCTTACTCTACTTGTAACCATTATGCTGCTATAGATGTACAAATATTCTGAACACTATCAGCAATCTACATATCTGAGGAAGTAAAAACATACAACAAAAGATTAGCAAATAATTAGTAAATCATCTCTTATAGTTATGTGTGCTCATTACTGTTAATAGACCTGGTACAAATGGGCAGTTACATCTGTTCCATCAGTAGGAGTTCCTCTCCATACACAGACATTCCCAATTTTCCCTAATTCTGCTCTCTTTGTCTCCAGGACCGTCCCACAATCAACTACATGTTCACAGACTCACCATGGAGAGCAATGGCTACAGCCTCACTTTAATTAACCAAAATTGGAATTTGAAGCCCCAAATTCAAGACACCTGGAAAGTGACAGTAAAAGTCACAGATAGAAAACAAAAACAGATGGGGGTACAGGAATACAAGGGACATTAGAGCTTTCAAAATACTGCAGCTGCATTATCAGTTGGGACCATACCTCTTTAGTTCAGTGAGTTAGTGCTCTTTGGATGACGGGCACATGTAGCCACCGAACTGCGGATTGCTCCATCAGTAAGAGCTATCATTTACGTTGACATTTTACCACAAGACAAAGTTAGATTTTCCAAAGGAAAGTGTCCTTAAACATTTGTCCAATTTAAAATTACAGACCAAATTAGATGGGCTAACTAAAGCCCTGTCCTCTTATTACTGTGATTCAGAGGTCTTATTACAAAGCTCTCTGCCCTTCCCATGCCCATGGATAAAAGTGGGCATGGCTTTGTTCCTGTGGTGCACTGCAGTGGAGCTCCTGACAGAGCTAGAGAACCCATGCCATTACATGATCCCTAGTGTTGGATGTTGGAGGCACTGCAAACAAACCTACTGAACTTGATTTTTTCCCAGATGTGTTAAACCACTGTGTGAAAGTAAGTTATGCTTATTTGTTAAAGCTTGCACCATTTGATATTGGCAGTTGCCAACATGGTAAGAGAGTCAGAATAAATTTCTTTTTTACATAAAGATGAGCAGATGTTATTTGAAACCCAGTGAAGCAATTATCCCTGGCTTTTTGGGTATAGTGCAAGCTGATACATCAAGTCTTTGGCTGCCACAGTGGATTTGAAATTTTACTGAGTGACAGAACCCTCTGGAAAGCTGGTAAAAACATAGCAGTCTGTGAGTTTAAAAATGGAAATTTCAAAACTTCTATATATTTGCTGATGCCATGTCATGATAAAGGATTATTATAAGCTTAGTATTTTCAAATATATGATGGTTCAAATTAGTTATGTCATGTGCAAATCCTGTTTAGCAAGAAACAAGGTAATATATACTTTTTTGTTTGAGCAAAAGGATGTGATTAGTTTGTTAATAAAATTATAGGTTTGTGTATGACAGACTGAACTCTTTGGTGTTAAGGATTGCCCTTATTCAACTCTCCATCAGATACTGTTTGTCTTTCAGGGCAGCACTCACTTTCTATCTATGGCTATACCCTGGTTGTAGGCCACTGTGAACATTTCTTAGTGTTTTGGTTTTTTATCCAAAAAAAAAAAAGAGGTTTATCTGAAAAAAATTGAGAGTGAAGGTACTGCAGGAGTAATCTGACCTTGAATTGCCTCTCATTTATTCAATATATACATTATTTGCTAACTATTAGTTAAAATCAATCTGGAGCATAGCTCACAAATAATAGTGACAAAGAGGTTCAAAATTGCTGTTCCAGAGGATGCTACCATTCCTTGCCTCCTCCCTCCTTGCCCAGCAGCTACTGATAAACATCAGTTCCATTAAGTGGATATATTCACATCAGTGAGCCTAGGAAAGGAAGAAGAGGGGAAGGCGATGTAAACAGTAGAAGTATATATAACTTTTCAAATACTGGCAACCTTCAAAATATTTAACTCAAATACACTGCTCTTAAATGATAAGAGCCATGATGAAAGGGAACAAGTATCTCATTATGATCATGTTCCCCAAGTGGCAAATCCCACACCATAGTCTGTTTTCCATAAATTCTTACAAGTTATTTTGGTACAAAGTTCCACTGGGAGGCATTTTTGTTGTTGCTTTGCTTAGTTGTACTTTGAATGACTTAATTTTTTTTAAAGTGCATGTTACATTTTTTGTTCTTCAGCATAAAATGGCCTATGCTGTATATTTTCTTTTTATGACAAAGGGTTCTGAAAAATCTAATCAGGTCAATGGCAGATGAACCCATTAATTTATTTCTAAAACCGCTACCACTTTTAAGAATATTATTCAATGATTTGCACTGCATCTTTACATCAGCTTGGTCTACAAATTCTGGTTCAGGGAAATTCATTCTATTCCAATGAACATTTTTTGAACTCTGTAATAGGCATTTACATTCTGGGGAACTTATGGTCCTGTTTTTCTTTTTTTAAAAACAAGATCTTCCTGTGTAGTTGAGGCTGCTCTTGAACTCACTGCATAGGCCAAGCTGGCCTCAAAGTCACTGCAAGCTTCCTGCCTCAGCTTCCTGAGTGCTGGGACTAGAGGCCTGTACCACCTCTCCCAGTTGGTCCCAGTTTTAAGGAGGTAAGTTCTATGAGGAGATTGCAGCACAGATGCACATAGCTCTATAAATCATTTAGAAATATGGTTGTGGAAGGGTGAGGGGAGAAAAGAAGGTAACCCCGGCAGCAGAGGACCCCTCTTCTCCCCCATGCTCTGGGCAGTCTGGGGACAACAGGTGAGGATAGGGAGGGAAAGATGGGTTAGGGCTGGTGGAGAAAAAGTGGGGTGAAAAACAATGACAGTTTTGAAAGTTTGTATGAACCCACTTAGCAAATGTTTAGTCTCAGTAAAATCCAAGGTGAAAATAAGGGTTCTTGTGGTTAAGGTACTTTCAGGCCCAAAGCTTAAACGAAATGGATAGGTAACATTTACAAAGAAAACACTATAAAGTTTCTCTTTTTTTCTATTTTTAAGGACAAAATAGAAGAACAAAATGGAAAATACACTCTTTTGGTTGGTGTTTTTCACCCCTGGATGGACTCTCATTGACGGATCTGAAATGGAGCAGGATTTTATGTGGCACTTGAGTAAAGTCCCCCGGGTTGTGAGTGAAAGCACTTTCTACCTCACCAGCCCCTGGTTTGAGGCAGATGCCAAGATGGTGCCAAACAGAATGTGTGGCATTGAATGTCAGAAGGAACAGCCTGCTCCCAGCCTTTCTGAGTTGGAGGATTCTCTTTCGTATGAGACGGTCTTTGAGAATGGCACCCGAACCCTAACCAGGGTAAAAGTTCAAGGTTCGGTCTTGGAGCCCACTCAGAATAACACCACCAAAGGAGCACCCATTAGGAGAAAGCGACAGGTGTACGGCACAGACAGCAGGTTCAGCATCATGGACAAGAGGTTCTTAACTAATTTCCCCTTCAATACAGCCGTGAAGCTCTCCACCGGCTGCAGTGGTGTTCTCGTTTCCCCGACTCACGTCCTGACAGCAGCCCACTGTGTCCATGACGGCAAGGATTACGTCAAGGGGAGTAAAAAGCTAAGGGTAGGATTGCTGAAAATGAGAAATAAAGGCAGTGGCAAAAAGCGTAGAGGTTCTAAGAGGAACAAGAGGGAAGCTAATGGTGGTGACCCAAGAGAAGGAGCCAAAGAGAGTCTAGAGGAGAGAGTTCAGGGTGGAAGACGAAAAAAAGAATTTGGTGGGGGTCAGAGAGGAGCAGAAGGGAGGCCCTCCTTCCAGTGGACCCGAGTCAAAAGAACCTACATTCCGAAAGGCTGGGCAAGGGGAGGCAGTGGAGACCCCGCCCTGGACTATGATTATGCTCTCCTGGAGCTGAAGCGCGCGCACAAAAAGAAATACATGGAGCTAGGAATCAGTCCAACTATCAAGAAGGTGCCTGGTGGGATGATCCACTTCTCTGGATTTGACAACGACAGGGCTGACCAGTTGGTCTACCGGTTTTGTAGAGTGTCTGATGAGTCCAATGATCTCCTCTATCAATATTGCGATGCAGAGTCGGGGTCCACTGGCTCTGGGGTCTATCTACGTCTGAAAGAACCAGACAAAAAGAAGTGGAAGCGCAGGATCATCGCGGTCTACGCAGGCCACCAGTGGGTGGACGTGCATGGTGTGCAGAAGGACTACAACGTGGCTGTGCGCGTCACTCCCCTCAAGTACTCCCAGATCTGCCTCTGGATCCATGGAAATGATGCCAACTGTGCTCATGGCTAAGAGAAAGCTGGGAAAAGGTTATATATCATCTAAATTGCAGAAGAAAGCCTGTTCTGATTAAGGAGGTCACCTCATAGGTTATACCTGAACTTGAGCCTATCAACAGCATTTCAATATTTTTACAAATTTACTTTTTCAAAATTAGGATATGTTCACACTTTTAAAAATGTTTAGGTACAGATATTGAAACATCAGATGGGTGCCTCAATGCCAAGTATATACTCTTTACACAGTGATCAGTTTTATTTGCAAGAAGATTTTTATAGCCTCTGTCTTCCTAGATATTACACACTCTTTAAAAATACTTCATACTGCTACCATAAAACATGATTTCTTAGTGGACTTAGTCTAAGAAGAATCTAATAGGATGCTAGTTGTGTGTAAAATGTGAAACTGCATATACAAAAGTAGATGCAGTAACGCAACTAGTATCAGGAACGAGAGTAAGATTTACAGTTTGTATTGCTCTCAGATGTGCTTTTTTTTTTATTTTTTCAGTGCTGGGGTTTGAACTCAGGACCTTGGACCTTGCACTTTCGAGGCACAGTGCCACTGAGCTAAATCCCTGGCCCTGTCAGATGGTTCCATTCAGCTCAGACTCTCAGGGTTTAATCTTCTGTTGAGTCTGAGAAATTTAGGCTTTTGATTTTTTTTTAAAGAACTACACATCAGAAGAAATGGCAAACTTTGTAAACAAAAATACTGCTTTAAAAAAGAGAAATTGTAGCCTCTATTTAAAATGGGATACTTTGTTCTATGAAAGAAATTAGATGAGAAATAGGTAAGGTGAGACTTTTTTTTTTTTTTTTTTGGTACAGGGGATTGAACTCGGGTCCTTGCACTTGCAAGGCAGGCAGCGGAACCACTGAGCTAAATCCCCAGCCACAAGGTGAGACATTTTAAAAAGCTTTCATTTAAAACTCAAAATATGAACTTCTCTGCTATGTGTAGGGAAGACATTTCACAGAAGATTATGTATTGTAAAAACCACATTATTTTGTATATACATTTTACTGTGTATGAGGTGCTATATTTTTAAGGCTAGGAATTCTGTAATTTTTGCAAAAGATAACTTTTTCTCTCTTGACAAAGTCTTTTTTCTTTCCTTTCTTTCTTCCTCCCTTCCTGCCCTTCTCCTCCCTCCCTACTTTCTCTCTTTCCATTTTTTTTTTTTTTTTTTTGGTTGTGCTGGGGATCAAACCCAGAGCCTCTGACAGGCCAGGCAAGTGCTCTATCACTGAGTTACACCCCCAGCTCCAAGTGCCACTCTCTTAACAGGACCAGTAGTGTATTATTTTGGTGAATTTTCTGATTAGTAACTTTAGATGTCATTTACTAAATATTGTATAGTTTACAAATAAGATTTTTTGTTTTTTCATACCAGGGATCGAACTCAGGACCTTGCACTTGCCAGGCAGGTGAAACGCCACTGAGCTAAATCCTTGGTCCCACAAATAGGATTTTTAAAGGACAGGATCTCGCTATGTAATTTAGGCTGTCTTTAAACTTACCATAATCCTCCTGTGTCAGCCTTCTGAGTGCTGAGATTACAGGTGTGCACCACATGGCCTGCTACTACAAGTAGAACTTTTATAAGAAAGTTCTGGTTATCTTCCTTAGGGATAAAGGTGGCACACTCTCTCTAGCTATCACATGGCGTAAGCAGGAAGAGTTCAGTAGCTATCCTTGGGCAAAATACAGAGTGGGCATCAATACATACTTCTTGAATTCAGCAAATGTTTGCTGAGTGGCTAGAAATGGGAGTTAATTCAGGACATTATCCTTAAAGAGTTTTATTGACCTGTAATCTCGCACTCCAAAGTTCAGGAATTACAGGCCTGATTTTTGGTCTGCTCTTCCTGGCTACATGCCCTTCTCTCAAGTCATACCCAATTCTGATTTTTGCCAGGGCACAAATTTATTTTAATGATTATTTTTTAGATATGTCTTAACATGAGAGATTATACCCTTGATTAGTATGTAAAGAAGTATTTGATTAGATTATCATAAGTGATTGTAAACAGTGTCCAAAATAGCTGAAATTCAACATAATGCATATTCTTTTGTGTTAAAAATAATTCAATAAAAATTCTTAAATCAGTTATAACTCTTACCGTATCTGTATATGTTTTAAAGAGTTTTAGCAAGTAGTAACTCATTTAATTAAAAAGTGATTTATTTTATTCTAAGCAAATCTCACTGATAAGTATTTTATCATTGCTTCTAGTGGAACAGAGCTATTGACACAAAAATTTTGGTCAAGTTTTATTTTGGGGGGAGGAAATAGCTATAGGATCACTGCAATCAAAAGTATTTCAGGTGAACTGTGCATTTTTACACACTTGTAAACACACATCATCTTCGTTTTAAGATTCTTCAGATATAATTTCTGGGATTTCAGTAAATTCTGAATAACTTAGCATTCTTACTACAACAGTTTGGTGCTTAAGGTTAATATATATTTTCTTAAAATCATTAGTCAATAAACTTGTTCTCTTTTAGACAGGGTCTTACTATGTAGCCCAGGCTGGCTCCAAATTTGTGATCCTCCTGCCTCAGCCTCCCATGTGCCTTGGGTTACATATGCTAACATGCCTACTTTCCAGTATACTTTTCAAAAATACAAAATTTTGTTCACTTGATTTGCAGAAGTTTTGTTGATTCTCTCATGTTCTTTTTACTAAAAGAATCATGAATCTTGTATGACCTATTTAGGACCACCAAACTATATTGTATGAACCAGAAAGTTTTGTTTCACATACTTTTTCTGCTATGCCCATGAGATTTGAAAGTTAAATTGGATTCACTTAGCTAACCATCCTCACACACTCATATATCTACTGTGTCCAAAGGACTATACCAACTTATTTCTTTGTGACTTATCACGGGTTGAATTCAAATAACTTTACAAAATAAGTAAGGTTTAAAGTTGTGGAGTTTTTTTCCTTTACCTAAATGACATTTCTTTTTTTACTTGCTCAGGTGGATATGTGTGAGCAGAATCAACTTCACAATTTTTTCCCTTTTTTATATGCTTCTTAGTTCATTTTGAAAAAGAAATTAAGTGTATGTATGACTGCCTTAGTCCATTTGGGCTGCAAAAACAAAATACCTTAGCCTGAGATTTTATAAATTATAGAAACCAATTGCTCACAGTTTAGGAAACTGGGGAGTCCGAGGTAAAGGTGTCAGCTGATTCACTGTCTATTGAGGGCCTGCTCTTCTCAGATTATGACTTCTTGCTCTATCTTCATGTGATGGGAGCTGAACAAACTCCCTCAGGGTCCTTTTATCAGGGGACTAATCCTACTTATGAGTGGGGAATCACTCAAGACCTAGCCATCTTACTGAGGTCCCTCCTCTCAATATCATTACTATGGAGGAGAGGTGCGAACTTATGAATGGATGAATGGGGTCGAGCACATTTCTGGACCATGGCAATAAACCCAGCCCAGAGTTATAGAATTTCACCCTTAGAATTTTTTTTTTTTTTTTGGTTTCGGGGTCTGGACTTGGGACCTTGTGCTTGCAAGGAACCACTGAGCTAAAACCCTGCCCCATCCTTAGATTTTTTTTTTTTGAGGTGGGGTCTTGCTAAACTATCAGGCCGCCCTCAGAACTCATGATAGCAAGAAATTCTCCTACCTCAGCCTTCCGAGTAGCTGGGACTATAGGCACATGCCACCATATGTGGATAATTCTACTTTTCTTCAGTATTTGGGAGTGAACTATATCCCCAGCCCTTTTTACTTTTGAAGGAAGGTCTTGCTAAGCTGCCCATGCTTGCAGGCCTGCTTCAGCCTTCCAAAGTGCTGGGATTATAGGTGAACACCCTAGGCAATGGCTAATTTTTACTTTCATTATTCATAGATAAAAGAAACCTTTGAAATTTTAATTTCAGAAATAGACTATCAGCCATTCAGAGACCTTCCGGGTAATCTAGCAGCTCTTTGTGGAAGGTAATGAAGGAAAGCTTCTTGCTGGGCTAAGCATCTTTCCTTTACTAGCCCCTCCCCTCCACTGAGTGATGGTGATATAGGGGGAAGAGATGTAACTTCCAAACCTACTAGATATCCAAAACGCTAGTTTGCATTCTCTAAAATCAAAGAATGAATTCTAGGAACAATGGAGGTTAAGAGTAGGAAAAATTTATTGGGAGAAAGAAAGCTTCTGCCTAAGAGAGACAGAAGGGGGACTGAAAAGTGGGTTGCCCACCCACCCCACTTTTCAAAGATGTTTTATACAGCAAAGCCATGTGGTGAGGTGGGTACAAAGTGGGAAAAAACTATGAGACCCAATGGAAATTTACAAGGTGGGCATGAGGTGGGACAAAACCGTGACCAACCAATAAGATTACAAGTATAGTCACCCAGGTAATACTGATTAAATTGGGATCAAATGGGAAGACAAGTCACATACAAGGAATTTCCCATTTAGAGTATCAATCACAGCTATCTATCTCTACGGGAAGCAGTACTTCTTTTCCTTTTTATAATACTGACCAGTGAATGTGCCTCAATTGTTTTCCATGTTGGTTCCTTGCTGTGTTGGCTCCTGGAGGGCTGGCACCTTAAGGGAGTGCCTGTCTACCTGCCAACAAGATATATAATTAATTTACCTATCTATAATATTCCCCCCTCTGAAGAAGTACCCCTAACTGCTGTGAGAGGGCAAAGGGCGAAGACAGTTTTGGCTACTTCCATCTGAAGAGGGTCGTAGTTGTGATCAGCAGTTAGAGTTACTCTACAGAGTCTATCTAAAGGCCCTTGATAGGTGCCAGGCATTGCCATCTTGGTAGCCATATAGCTTTGAGTCTGGAGGAGACAAAAGCCAAAGAAACATTTAAGAATATATGGGCTAAATAATGTCAGCAGGACTGCTATGAATATAGCCAACACAGGTTTGTACTGGGAGGAACTAGTAATAGCCTCCCACAGAAGATAAGGGTAAAGTCCAGGGGACTTTAGAATCCAACACAGAAGTCATATTATATAGTTTAGCAATTATAAGCTGTTTACAAGGTCAATCTGGTGGATCCTGGTAAAAGAAGTCTAGCACATTTGTCATTGGTTCCATTTGTATGACTTCTTGGAGTTGGCAGCTTCTAGGCAAGAATAAACAAAACTTTAAAGAAATTAGAGCATGTATAATCTAAGCATGAGCACACTAGAATGGAAGGGGAGGTTGGGGATAAAGTTACATTTAGATACTATAATAGTGATTGTAACCTGCTGACTCTTAGATTCTTTTATTGATAGAGGTTATGTATAAGTCTGATACTTTGTCATAAATCTCTCTAGTTTTAGCTGTAAGAAGATAAGAGACAATTTGAAGAACAGACCTCCCTAAGAAATTTCAAACTCTAGCTGAGCTGTTGTAGACTTTACCACGGTTTTTTCCTAATGACCCATAACTGTGGTCAGCTACTGGTGTAGCTAGGAACTGCCAGAAGGGGTCAGTGACTGGAGCCCCTTTTTATACCTAGCTTTATTACTATGGCATTATTTTATACCTCTTTTGGTTATTCTTTTCTGCTGGGTGTTTCAGACCAAGTTAAAGTGAGACCAGTATCAATCAGTATGAACCTCTTGCTATCTATCAAGGTCAGTTAAATCTCCTCAGCCATTACTTTGGAACCATGTATACAGCCTCTCAGCTCCTCTGTCAGTGTCAGCCATCAGGACGGGTCATGGCCTTGCTTGACCGTGTTGCTTTCAGTGAAAACATGGGAGATTTTTCCCTCTTTGTGACCCTCCTTTGGCACATGGTACATTTGTCCTCTAGTGCCTAGTAATCTCCCAGCTCAGGAGGTTGAGTAACTTACCAAAGATGTAGGATCCTGTGGGAAAGGTTCCTTTGTGTCTTGGCTCTTTGTTGACCTGAAGGGGCCACGGCCAAAATATTGGCTGTCCTCATAGCCCAGTTACCTTTCTAGTTTTGGTCTCCAAACTTTAGTTCTTGAATACCCAGAAGAGAAGATCAGTGACATAAGTATTTTAGTAGGAGGAGTGAGATTAACTATTATAATTTTATCTGGACATTAAGCACTTTTAAAATATATTTTATCAACCATGGTCATTTTAGAAGTTGAATTGAATACCTCCAGAACATTAACAGACAACAATTACACATTATATAGAAAAATTTAAGATCAAGGGC